GGGGTGGCGATTGAAACATAAGGTTAGTCGAATTAAAGCTAGTTTTAATTTTAGTAAGAGTTTTACGGCATTTGCAACGCAATAAGGTCATATAAGTGCCGAAGATTAGAGGGTGTTGAAGAGAGTAACAAACACAAAAAAAGAAGGGGGAGGGAGATAAAGACGATAGATGCTTGATAGGAAAGAAGAAGCCAACCACACCAGAGCACCCCCGCCAACCACCCACAATTAAAGCTAGAAACACCGGAACAAGAGACAGTAGTATAATAATATGAGAGGCAGCGTGGAGGAATCAGGCTCTCGTCAAAATAATCAAAGTCAAGAAACTTGCATTGTTCCGCAGATTGGTGAATTTGTATCAAATTTGTGTTTTTTGACTCAACACCTTTCATGCCCTTTAGAGAACTCATTTCTGTATGGATTTTTCTGAAAAACGTTGATTAAAAGTATTAAAAAATGTAAATTTTCAGTTACCACGGACTCTTAAGCTAAGGAAATAATTAATCTTTGCGGCAATTTTCTCACTAATTTTACCTCTGTAAACAGGTGACCCCCACCTCCTTCATTCGCAAATATCTCGACTTGTATTCAAGATAAATGGATATTTTTTCATCCAAATAAAGACAAATGAACAAGCTTTAGGATGATACCAATAACTCTACATGCCCAAAAATTGACGAGAGCCTGATTCCACCACGCTGCCTCACATATAATAAATTATGCGTTAGTACGTAGAAAGCAAAATGCTACGGTAGAGAGAACATCATGATCTGGTTTAATTTCCTGGTCAGAACTAATAATTAAATGACAGGAAGACCCTCATATGACCTTATGCAGTTTGTGAGCGCCGTGAAACCCTTACAAAACTAAAATGACCGTTTGTGATACCATGGCCAGACCCTTTATAAGCGGCGGGTTCCCGATCAGCTCTTCACACTTCTGCTGTAGCTGCTTCTGACTCGTGTCATTTCCCGCTCCGCGTAGAGAGTCTCTCACCTCGTACTTTTCGTGAGTATACAACTTCATATCACGCCTTGGGTATTTCTTTTTATTTTTTTATTTTTTTTGCTTCACTCACATGAAGCATTTCTGTCCATCAACTGTTCATCTCTGTCTCTGTCTCTGTCTCGGTCTCTGTCTCTGTCTCTGTCTGTGCCCCCCTCTCTCTCTCTCTCTCTCTCTCTCTCTCTCTC